CTAACACCATCAAGTTCATTCCAGAGTAAATTGTTGTGGAAGAGGCACTCTTCTGCCTGTTTTTAGCAGAATCCCAGGAGCTCAGGCTGTCTTGGCAACAAAAATTATCTGGATATAGGTGAGATGGCTCAAGAATAAGGTGGTTGGATGTCTAGGAATTATGCTGTGAGTTTGGAGGCGTTTGCAATACCAAATAGGAAGAAAATGAGAGTTGAAATCCTTATTTAAAAATGTGTGATTTTTAAACTTTCTTTCAAATATGTTTGAGTTGAGTCCCATATTTCCCAACAGATATGGGGATCTTATGGCATATTTATATATAGACTTGCAGTTCTGGTTTTGTGTTACCACCAGAGACGAGGTTGCTGCAAACAGTGTTGGCAGAGAAGTGGGATGTAAAACAGAGAAAGCTCCTTTTCAGAAATTTAACCAAATTGAAGTAAAGCTGAGCAATTCTAATGAAGAGAACTTGTAGAAATTTTATATTTCTTGGAATGGTGCTAACAGGAGGGCTCTTAGATCATTCTAGAGCTTTCTCTGGCTTCCTCTGTCTTCTGTGCAACTCATTGCTACTAAAGCTTTATCTCAAAGGAGATATTTGAAATTAGTTCTGATTTAAGGAACAGACAAAGCTCAGACCATTTAAAATGATGTTTAATATTTGACAAGCCATGTTGAGTGTATAACTTATTTGTGAGTTATGACTTGTAGTTTATTTTTGTACATGGCACACAAAGTTTTTGTGAATTCATCACTGTGAAGATGTACATCATTGCACATTTAAGTCCAGTGGCTGGTGGTGCTGCTTTTTTTTTAGAGATCCTGATGCTTACTCCACAGTAAAAAAAAAAAAAAAAAAAAAAAAAAAAAAAAAAATCAAAAATCTGTGTTTTGTCAGCACTGGATATGTAAAGGCATCTTTGTTGGATTGTGGAAACTCAACTTTTATATGGCTTAGTTTATCTCTGTCTTTGGTTTGTAATGCTTTGAAAGCCAGCATGCCTAGTGGGGGGCACACATACATTTGTTTTTATCTGTTCTTTTTTCAGGGGTTTATATTCAGGTACACAGTGCTGTTGTCTCAGTCACACCTTTGCTGCTTTTGGGCTTACTGTGCAAATCATTGTAAGAATGGGGCTTACAGTAGATCTGAAGTGTATTCTTCCAGGTTAATTGTTAAAAGGAATTCAGGATGAGCAACACAAAATCCAGCATAATTCTGAATGAGAGTACCTACACAAGGATTTAGTGGTTTAAGTATTTTATTAGATTAATTTGAATTTCTGAGTGTACTTAGGTAATTGAGCTTTCTGATATATGCTATGAAATAATTTCCTGCCAATTTCAGTTCTGTGGAGCTTTGTAACTCAAGATGCTGATACTTTTTATTTCTTCTGCCTCTTAACCACATTACCAAGTAAGTTTTGATACTTGTTACTTCTCAACTCACTCCCATGTGATACCTCTTAGCCACTGCATTTTAGGTGGCCAGAGATAATAATAAACTCCAACAATTTTGGTCACCTCAAAACAAGAATAAATAATAAACTCCAACAATTTTGGTCACCTCAAAACTTGTCTTCATGCTGCAAACTTTTCTGAAGTTGTGTTACTTTATCACACTGCAACAACTCAGCTGGGGTGTAAATGGTTTGACTGCACCAAAAAGTTGCTTTTATCAAGTTTGTCTTTCTTCAGATGCTGTTAGCTAATGGATAGCACCTAGGAATGTGGTTGAACAGATATGCTCCCTGATCTGTGGTGGTTGTTGTTGCTGTTGACACAGCACAAAGGCTGATGAGACATTAAAAATGAGGGGTTCTTTTTGTGCTTTTTGTGCTTTTGGATGCCAGTGCCCAAGGCAATGATTGGTAGGTTTCTAGAGGTTCAGCCAATTGTTTGGCTGTGATTCAAGGACTTCAGTGATGTGTTTTGGAAACACATTTCTATAGCAGGCATGTGCTAAAAACAATCTCTTTCCCAGTGCTGGTGCAGGGAAAGGAAACAAGCCACAGTGATTCTACAATATCTATTTACATGTAAGTTCTTCTGGGCTGCTTCATATGCAGGACTGTTCACAGAGGCAGCTTTTGGCTTCTTTTTTAAAAAATCCCCAAGTTTTTGGTTTCCCAAAGAACAGGGCTGTTTTGTTTATTTGTTGCTTATGAGGGAACCAATGTACACACTGGATTTCCTGACAGCCAGGGCAAGTTGTCCCCAAAGAGGCAAACAGCTGAGCTAAAGGCTGTAGGTGACATGGGGGAGTCTCTGATGTGACAGCACCGTGGCTGTTCATGACAGGTTTGCTGCTATTCTTGCTGGCCTGAAGGATTTTTTTGCTGAAGGTAGGAATACAGTGCAGGCAGTGAGAATTAGAGGGCTGCTGTTCAGATTGCTGGCTCTGCTGGTAATACTGCTTGGCATAGCTTGTAAGGAGATCTTTTGTATAACCTGAAGTTTGTCTCTGTCAGCTCAGCTGCAACTCCCTTGTCTCTGGCTGCAGTTCTTTATTTGGTATATGAAGAGCAGAGATTTCAATTACTGGGGGGGAGAGAGGGAGGGATTAGGGGTCTGGGGCAGGTGGAGAGAACTTCACTGTGCTGGCAACAAGGAATTATTATCCAGGTTTAATAATCTGAAACATCAGAGAAATGATCACTGCATCAGGTTCCAGAGAAAGGAAAAAAGGGTTGGCTTGAGACATTTTTGAGCCACCAGACATATATTCAAAGTGCCTTTAAAACATTGACTCCAATGCTCATTTTCTCCAGACTTTAAAATGTGGGGGTGGATGGGGGCACTGGTTTGACTCACAGAAGCCAAGGTTTATCTGTAAGCAGTGTTTTGTTTGTTTTTTTTTTTTTTTGGTGAGCTATAATATTCAAAAACTAATCCTTGAGGGACTGCCAGTGGAGAATTTGTTCAAAAGCCTTGGAGCAAAAGCTTTACATGAATTGCAAAAAGAAGGAAGCCTTTTGATGTTTGAAGGAGTTTGTCAACATGCTCTCAATGTGTCAGGATGTGTCTCTTCCCCTCACCCTGCCTCTTGTTGAATGTCCTGTTGCTTGATTTTGTGAAATAAAGCTGGGTTGTGCCTAGGACTGGGAATAAAGTTGGTTCTTCTGGGATAAAAGACATTTGTTTTTATAAAAAGGTATATTCACAAAGAACAAAGAAGAAAACAAAACAAAACAAAAAATTAAAAGTCCCATGACAGCAGCTTTTGTGAATGAAAAGTGGTTAAAGGAATAACCAAGAACAAACTCTTTTTGTTTAGCCTGGTGAGAGGTGCCAAAAGGAAGCTGGAGATGAAGGGAAGAATATGAATAGAACTTATTTCATGTTACATTTCTCTCAAGTTAAACCACCTATGACACTGAATGCAACTTGTCATTTTGAATGTTGTAACAGACCAAACAGCAAAGATGCACTTGGGAGAGACAATATTCTACATGGCATTTGCAAGGACAGTCCCTTAAGCTCACAAGTTTTCCACACATGCACACAGCTATCCAAGCATGTCACTGTGGGCTGCTTGTTCATGAGCAACCAGAAAGTTGCTTTTCATGTTCTTTTATTCCCTGTTCTGCTGCTAGTAGCACCTGAGAAATCCTCTAGTCCTGCAATGTCTTCTCCTGACACCCTTTGGCCATGGCATGGCAAAAGGGCTTCCATTAAACTGAGCCAGACCCTTTGATTCCACACACAGCACCCAGATCTTGCTGCTTTTGGTGGAGGCAGTCCCTGCTCATATTGGGCTCCTCTGAGCTGTGGCACCCAGGTTTGCCATACACAGGGATTTATCCCCTAGTTCTCCTCCTTTTTCACCTAAAAACCTGCAGGTTATTCCATATCACTCATCTACATGTTCTGCTTTGCACACAAATCCTGTTTTGTTGGTGCAGACCACTCCCTTAGCCCTCTTTCTCATCACCTGCAGCTTCTCAAAATGGCCCTGAGCCACATGTTCTTCAGGGGTGTGATGGACTGAAAAACTACTGTTACCAAAAGATGAATATCTATTTATAAAAGAATTAAAGACAGTTGGATGCCCAAAACATTTGAATTTCAATTGGAAATATTCAGACTTGTTAACTGAATGTAATATTTTTTTGCCAGATTTCTTTTAAGTGACATAATGATAAAAGAACTCAACCTGTTTTCAAATGGCTGCATATTAATAGCTTTGAGCAGGTGCTCTGGAAATCAAGGGAATCTGTGAAATTTCAGAATGCCCCCTCCTCCCATTTAAAGCTTATTTCTAAAAAGTGCACATGTCTTTAGTCTGGTGCAGCAAATGTGTGAGACTATGATCTGTTTGTACTTCTGCCGTATTTGAGACTGGTATTTTTGTAAGGATTCATCTTGCATTTGTCTCAAGTGGAAATTCCACAAAAGCTTAGTCAAAAGACCTCTAAAATATATCATTGTAGGTCTCCAAAGTGCAAAAACAGTTAGCATAAAGCTTCCAGGAAGAAAAACACCAAACAACAAGAAAAAGCCCTAAACTCTCTGAAATGTCTTTTGTCACCTGACCTGCAATTGCTCCAAAAAGCTGGCACAGAAAACTACAAAACTGCATTTCATCTGCAGTTACAGACTGATAAATATTCTTTGTGGCTGATAGTAGGCAGTGAGGCATAATTTTTTTTTTTTTTTAATTTTTCTATGGCTGTTGAGCACAGTAAGTAAATTTAGGTCAGATTCTCAGTCATTTGATCATATGCCTGGAGATGTAATATATTTTGTCTAATAGCCAGGGGAAACAGTCATTTAACCAAGTAACTGTTTCATTTCTTTAAGTGACTAATTTGATGGACAAGGCCCAGTTCACAGGCAAAACAATAGATCCTACAATGGGATCTTCTGAGGCTGACCTTCCTGCCCAGCTGGATAGCAGTGGGGTCTGTCAGCATGGAGATGTTTGCCTGCTTGAGGGAAGAGTTTGAGCATCATGGCTGAGATAGTTACATCATGCAGTGCATTGCATCATGTGTCCACTACAAATAATTTGCCTCTCTTTTTCTCCAACAAGGTATCTGTAGTGGGGTACAAAGGAAGAACACTTAATGAAAAGTTTGCTTTACCTTTAGTTTCAGAAGAGCAGGGGCTTGTGTATTTTTCACCCTTTTTGGTGCTGAAGATGCAATTCTGTGATAGTTACATCGTACAGTGCATTGCATCATGTGTCCACTACAAATAATTTGCCTCTCTTTTTCTGCCACAAGGTATCTGTAGTGAGGTACAAAGGAAGAACATTTAGTTAAAAGAAAAGCAAATTTTGCTTTACATTTTAGTTTCAGAAGAGCAGGGGCTTGTGTATTTTTCACCCTTCTAGATGCTGAAGATGGAATTCAATACTTTATTGCACAGCTAAAACAGCAGGTGGATTTAAAATGAAGGGACAGCTGTAGGGATGAGCTGCTGTATAAGCAGATTATAAAATATTCAGTTTGTAGAGGTGGAACTTATCTACCCTCAGTAAGGAACTCTCTGCTGGTTGTTATTTGACAAGTTCAGCCATCGTCTCTTGAAGATAAATGTTGGTATTGCCATTGTAGCTCTGATTAATTCCACATTGGCCTCTTTATCATCATGGTTTTGTCTCTTTGGAAAGGTTTAGTTTATAATGGAAATATATTTTGCTGGTCTACTTTAATCATTATAAACCTCCTATACTTGTAGTTTAGTGCTGTCAACTGAGCATTTCTAATTATTCAGTACATCATTGTGGATTCATCATAGTCTTCTCCAGTGACACAATTCCTTTCCATTTGGTGATGACCCAGGAGAGAGAATCTGCATTTATATGTAAAGCAAAAAGCATCACAATTATTGCTAAATTGGATACTTTTATATTCAGATTTAACTGAAAAAAGATTTTCCACTGCAATTTTTAATTTAAATAAGGCTGCACAGCTAGCTTTGCAAACTGTGGTAGACATTTGTTAAGGCAGAATGAGTGTTCTTGTTGTAGTACCACACCTTTTATAGCAGGCTCTCATTGATGTGCCACCTTGAGGGAAGGTCTTTACTGTACCTTGATCTGGGATGAAAGTTTGTGGCAATTATCTTTTATTCTCTTCTTTCTTTAGAGCATAATATGTGCAGGGTTTTGTCAAGTACATAGCAGCAAATAAGCATAGTTAAAATGATTAGTCCCAAGGACTGGAAAAAAATTTCATGTATACAATTCAGCTTCCAAAAATCTTTGTTTTCAAACTCAAAATTTATTTCACTGTTAATCCTATTCCTTTCTTTCACTGCACTTTCACTTCACACAGGTTCCTAATGCTGTTGCTTAAAAAAAATAAATTTATGTTTCCTTTTTTTTTTTTTTTTTGTAATTCATGAAGGTGTCATGATCCTATGTGTTAATTTGCCCATGGTTCCAAGTTGTGTGTTAGACTGCCTGTTTTATCTTTCTGCCTTTTTGGTCAAATCCAAAAAGGTGAGCAAATGGGATGTTCTGTACAAGTGACTGTTGGGTGAGTGTGATATGTATGTGCTATGCACCTCTGAAAATAAGAAACCTTTTATTTCAGGCACCAGAATGGATTTCTTTCTTTCTTTCTAAAAAAATAAATGTTTAGAAATTAAGTGTCCGGCTCTGTTTCTGATACCCTTTGGGAATAGTTTTACACACAGGCTTCCCTGGAGAGTCTTGTCCCTCAGTTTTCCTATTAACATCCAAATCACTGCTCTTAGGAGTGAGAATGGAGCCAATTTTATGATCTCTCATCAGGGTCCTCTTAGTCTTCTCCCAGCTAGGGAGAACAAATGGGCCTTTTAGTGTGCCCTAAAAGTCAAAAAACTAGATCTAGTTTGTAGGGGGTGAGGGGGCAAGTCCCCAAACTGAGGTGGGGAGGGGGTGACAGCACAGAGGGCACATCTGTGTCTTAGTGGCATTCCTGCCCTAGTGCTCAGCTGCCCACAGTTTGGTACAAAGAAGTTGTTGTTTGGTTTGGTTTTTGTAGATGCATGCTTTACCCAAATATTTTTAAGGCAAATTTCTGAAATACTTTACTAATTTAATAGGCAAAAATAAATGTCTTAAATGCTATAGCCAGAAGAGGTGGAAAAAAGGATCAAAAATGTATTTGAAAAGAAATGGGATGCTGATGCTACCTCACTTTGTAGGTGGTTTTTGAATTGGGCATATAGTTCACCTGCAAAGGAGAAATTGTAGCTGAGAGCTGTAGGATGTAACCTCTGCCAGTCCAATGACAGAGCAAAACACTGATTAGGTTGTAGCTGTTACCATATTCCTGCTTTGGGCCAGAAATCCATTGGCTCCTTCTTTTCTGTCTTGTAGATGCAAGTTTAAAATTCAATACAATATCCCAGTTTTTTTCCCATTTTGTAATTTATTAGGTTTCTGTGTACAAAGTTGTGAGGGTTAAAGAGAAAAGGAAATAAATGTGCAAAAATTTATTGCATGGATGCTACTGGAAGAAAAAAGAAAAGGGAATTGTTCTGATTTTTGACTGTGAAAGTAAAGCAATATTCCTATATCCTTAAAGGAGGTGAAAGAGAGAGAAAAGCAGTAAAGTAGCTTAACAATAAAGAGCATGTCTAAAGCAAATGTGTTTACTCTTAACAGCTGAGATTGATTAGGCAAGAGTAAATGACTTTGTTGCTTTACAAGCAAACAGTGATAAGAACCCACATCTGCTTGAGAATGGCATGATTACAGCTGTAGTGTGAGAGAGATTTCCTCTGAGCACCAGGAGTTATCAGATCAGGCCTCGAGGAGGCTGCTGAGAGCACAAGAACAGGACAGGACAGGCTTGTCTTAGGCAAACAGACATCAACTGGTTTTGTAAAACAAGGCTGCTCCATTTTGTGTCTGGCCAATGGTACCTCAAGGCTTCTGCCAAACTTTTGGGGCAGTTTTGAGGTGTGATTTGCTTTTTGTTTTCCTTTTGAAAGAATTTTCCTTCTATGCTTGCTTTCTAATAATATTAAAGGTGCTAAGTTTACAAGTTTTGGGGTTGAAGAACTCTTTCATTTCCTATAAGTGTGAGTAACAGAGGTGTTACACCCATTCCATGTAAACAAAGGTATTTGCATCATATTATGTTAACATTAAGTTTTAGATGTCTCTTGAGAGCAAAGGCCTTGGTTGCATGACCCATTTTTATATTGCAGTGCATCTGCACTGAGATCCTTTTCCTTCTACATAGGCTCTGTATTTTCTCCAGAAAATTCTTTGGAAATGACAAGTTCTCAAGCACTGGGGTTTGCATTTGCAGAAAGAAAGGATTTCCATAGAGGAAACCCCATTTCTACCAGCAGCAATCATGTGTTTTCAGGCACTGCCTACCTGTAATAGATGAAGCACCTCCTGTGAAATCCCAAGGGAGGCAGGCAGGCTGTTGCTGTGGGGCATTTAAGGACAGGGTTCACTGTGCTCATTTGTTCATGATTGACTATCTGGTTTGTTTAGTGATAAGACTAAGACTCTCTGTAGACTAGAAACTGTCCCTACTAGTGAATAAACAAAAGAAAGCCATTTCTGGCAGTCAAGACAGAGCCATAATGTTCCAGATGGCTCACAGGATTTGAAATAACTCTAATATTAAATAGATACAGTGTTTCAAAAACTACAAGTGCCTTGTAGGGCTGTTTATTCCCTTATCTTGTCTTTTTATGTTTTTTTTTTTAAATTTAATTTCAGGATTATTTGACAGAGACTATTGCTAGGGAAAAAATGGTAAAAATATGTGGCATTTGACATCCAAAGTTCAGGAGGCAGCAGAATAAACCAGACTTTGTGGTAGTTTTATCACTGGAAGAAATGACACAATTGTGATGTTTGTAAATGATACAGGCTTGTCTTTGTGTGTGTGCTTCTCTTACAGTCCCATACCTTTTCCTGTGTGGTGTTCTAAATGTTTTTTTTCAGAAGGAGCTTAGTAGAAATGCAGCATCCTAAGACAAAAAACTTCATTTTGCCAGATAGAATCTTCCTAAGTATGAACTGCAATTCTGAATTTTCCCTTTAACAGTTATTCAGCAAGAAAGGCAAACAATTAGGAACATGATGCAGATGACTGGGCAAGTTACAATAATAGTAGTCAAGTCCCAAGCAGTGCTGGAAGTAATGTATTTGCAAAGAAATGTATAGATCCCAAATTAAGAGTGGGTAAGCAAATGGGAGAGTGCAGGAGGGCCAAAAGGTTAATTTGATTGATTCTTTCATTTTCCTTCAGATTCCTGGGACTGGCTTAGGTCAATGGAGAAGGTGGGTTATTTCAAGGGAGCTGTTGGGAAAAGGTGTTAGAACCATGGTCAATCTCTCCTTGCCTTGCAACAGAGCTTGAAAATACTGGTTTGAATCTAGAAGTGGATTGTATCAAAAATTAACTTACTGAAACTGAGTGAACATGAGTCTAAATTCTGGACAAAATGAGGCAAGACTCCCTTAGCTTACATTTTGGCCGGTACTGTGCTGGTTATGTAAATTAAATTAGACCCCCATATGATGATGAGATGGGGATACCAGGCCACAGTGAGTTGTAGCTGATTGCATGAATCCCATGATTTATTGACATGAAAAGTGGGAATGACTACAGCTTAGTGAACAGCAGTTAAAAAACTCCCTGTGGGATCAACATCAGCTGGAACTGACCTCAGGTGCAGTTACAGTATCTCAAGGACACTGAAATTTATGTGAGCTTTTCAGCTTTATTAAGAGAATGATTTTGTGTGTGTGTGTTCTTATTAGCTGCTGAATTGCAACTTGCTGTTTTCCTTTTCCAGAGGCTCCTAAATCCACAAAAAGATCAGGAGTGGTTTGCAATTAAAGGTTTTCTCAGGTGTGCTATGCTCAAGAGCTATAGTCAATAATGTAGTTTTGGGAAGATTTATACTTGGCAGGTAAATTCTATGGGGAAGGTCCTTCTTTGCTCTTTTTCCAGAACCCTGTGCCCTTGAAAAGCTTTGGAGCATTTCTGTATGCATATGTGGTGTGACTATGTAGGTCAAACATTGCACATGACCCTTCCTAGTTCAACCTCACAAAACTAAGAATGTACCTTAGACTTCACAGTCCTTAGGATTTACAGGGATTGATTTTAGTTTTTTTATAATGAAACTTTCTTTTCCCCACAGAAGGTGAAATAATCTTAAATTGTATCTAAAATAAATATAGCACAGGCAATAATTTTACAGGTTTACTTACACTGCCTAATACATTCTCTTCAACCCTGACTCCAAGAACAAAGTGA